ATGTTGTCTTGTGACGCGTTTCGTCCTTACGAAGGATCTTCATCAGACTAACGTTACGTTTATGTTGATGCGACTACACATACATATGAAGGAGAGGGGACACTAAAAATTTGATTTAAATTTAAACGCTTCACGCGAAAATTTGTGCCACTTGGTCGTAGATTTCCCTTATAAATATAATAAATATATATAAACATGTATGTTTTAATAAATATATAAAGTTCTATTTGATTTTTTATTATTATATATATATATATTTGTTTCTTGTCTAGGAAGGGTTCCCAGTACTCTTTCTCTCTCTGGCCTCTGTATTAGTGCAGCTCTGTTTCTCCCGTGATGTGTGCAGTCTGTGGCATAACCTCTTCATTCTGAGGGTAGACGGTTGACAGTTCTCTGGTTGCTGTTTCCGACTGGTAGTTAGGAGCCCTAACTCTTGCTGCTCTGATCAACAGTTGTATAATACCGGGGTGTTTGTAGTGCCATGTCGCGCATGGAAAGATGCAGATTTGGTCAACTCCTCTCTGCCCGCGTCACGGTCGAAACTGTCCGTTTCTTTTACTTCGGGTCTTCTCATCTTAAAAACAAAATTCAACATGACTTACAATATTGCTCCGAGGAGCTGCATTCGCTGGTTCCCAGACGTCGCGAGTTCCAGCGCCTCACGAGGCTGGCATCCCGCTCTCACCCCCTTCACTGTCGAAACTCCCTAAATATAGCCGTCTCTTCTACTCTAATAGCTTCATGTCTCGCACCTCTTGCCTGTGGAACTTCCTTCCCTTTTCTTGTTTCCCTGTGAGCTATAATCTCCAGCTATTCAAGTGTAATGTCAATCGACATCTCCAGTTTGCCTTGATCTATCCACTACCCTCATCCTTTCTTCTATCACTCCTATCTGATCTTGCTCTAAACTTTCTGTAACCCCTTGCGTCCTAGTGGCTTCCCGCCTTGCTTGGGGTGAAATGCTTATATATATATATATATAAATTATATTATATATATATAGCGTTGACTTCAGTGTATATATATATATATATATATATATATTAAAAAAAATAAAACTGTGTTTTTCCAGATTGGCCGCTATATGCCCACATACGTTAATTCTTTTAATTTCCCTCTGCAACTTCATATTCTCTTTCTTTCCTTCAAACCCCTAAATCCATCTTTTATTTCTTACACATTTACGTCTCCCTCTTTTTCTCTCTCTCTCTATATATCGTTTTCGGTGAGTTGACCTATTAAATAGGTCAATGTATGATCCTTACCCCACTTCCTCATTATTAAGTATTGTAATAAAAATAAATTTAAAAAGCATTCCTATCCTCCATTCCCTCTCTAATTTCGACCATGTCTATCACTCACCACTCTCTATATCATGTTTCATCAACTTAATACATGGGCCGACACTATTTTTCAGGCACTTTATTTTTCAAGTTTTAGGTAGCACAGGCAGTCTGTACTGTTTTACTGTAATGGCAGTAACATTTAAAAACTGTTTTAATACTACAAATGGAAAAGTAGAATTCAAATTAGAAGTATTTTTATTTTTTTTTACAAATTTTCACATTACACAGGCGACAGTATTTTTTCGGACAGTTTATGGCAGCACCCTTTTTTCAATGACTTCTATAAGTCTATCCTCATAATGTTCGTACATATTGATTATAACGTCTCTTCTATTTTTAGCATCTTGTATGTGCTGCCACAGTTCAGCCTCTCTGGTTATTTCTGGCCCGTCGTAAACAAGCTCTGAAATCATTTCCCATATGTTTTCAATTAAATTTAAGTCTGGACTTCTTGCAGGCCATTCCAGAGTAGTTATATTTGCTTCACACATCCAATTTTTCACTGATTTGGCCACAAGGATGTTGCAGTTATCTTGCTGCAAAATAAAATTACTCCCCATTTCTTTTTTTTATGAGTGGTAGGGCTCTCTTTTCCAAAAGTTCTCTGTAGCTCAAGCTATTTTGACGTCCTTTTAATAACTCGAGCCACAAGTTTCAATTCGGAAATACCATACCCCAAACCATGACTCCTCCTCCTCCCATCTGTCTCTTGTTGAGATTTAAAGGTTCACCTTTTCTCGACCATGTACACCACCCGTCAGGTCCATCGAACTTAAAACATTTTTCATCAGTAAATATCACTTTCTTGAAGTCGACATGGTTTGTTATCCATCTTTTGGCGCTTCCCAGCCTTCCCTCCTTGTGTTTTTTCGTTAGTGTAATTCTTTTCTTGATTTTAGCATACGTAAGTCCAATTTCGTGTAGCTTTCTTTGTACAGTTCGAACACTGACGTCAAATTCACACTTCTCCTTTAATTTCTTTGCTGTCACCTTTTCTCCAGATGATAACAACCTCGTAACACTCCTCTTCATTCTTCTTTCTGTTCTCTTGGAAATTGTTTTTTTCCATCCTCACTTATTCTTCTTCTTCCGCTCATAGTCTGTACTTAGCCTGTATTCAACTGTTCACTTCGGTAGCTTCATCTCAGCGGCGA